ACAAGCTGCACCGTGCCAGCAGTTCTCCTCACCCCAGGACCCCCGTCCAGAACTGTGACCCAGATCCAAGCACAGGCAAAGCAAGAGATTGCTGCCTCATCACCAGCAGAGAGATCCCTGCAGTCCCCCTCTGATCAGCCATTCGATTCTCCCTCAGTCTGTGGGCCAGAAGCTCGGGAAGCAGCTGCCCCCCAGGGCCACACTCTTGGAGAATGGAGGTGAGACCCCGCCTTCCTGTCTCAGCACTGCAGAAACAGACTTTTCCCACTGACCTTCTAAATTGTCTTTGCATTAGTGGATTGAGGAGTCTGGAAACAGCCACAGCTGCCCGTGATTTCAGTCCTCTGAGGCCTGCTCCAGGTTGCTGAGGCCTGCACGCCCACGCCACACTGCACTCCTCTCTCAGTCTGGCACCATAGACCTTTCTGATCAATCATCTAGGTTGTCTTGGGCTGGAAATTTGCTTTACTCTGTCTTTTTGTGGGTTCTGCTGCCTTAGAATTTGTTTAGAGCCATTTTTATAGTATTTGGAGGGATTTGGGGGAGAGCTCAAGCAAGTTGCTGCTTTCACTCTGCCATCTTGGCTCCACCCCTCCAGATCTATTTTTAAAAAGAAGCCATTATTTGTACCATTTTTTATTAGCCTTAATCACTGAACGGGCAAAGTCGAAGTCAAAGTGACAGCTGGGATGGACCTCTTCTTAACAAGGCCAGGTTCCCCCATGGTTTTCTAGGCCATCTCCAGTCATCCTAATCTACGTCTGACTAATGAAATCTGAAGGCTCCAGAGGAAAAAGTGAGGCTGGTAACTATGCAAGCACTCCTTTGTTTAATGCAATTCACTCACAAGCCATGGCATCACCTTCATGATTATATACTTTTCTTTGAGAATGAAGGACAAATAGCATGACACAAAATCTGTAAAGTAAAACCAGGTTTAACTCTCATCCCTAAATCAGAGAGGGTCCGCAAGGCTTACTTAGTTTTCAATTAAATCAGAGAGATAACAAATATATCTATCTATCTATATCTATATCTATCTATCTATCTATCTATCTATCTATCTATCTATCTATCTATCTATATTTTATAGTGATCAAAATGAACTACATCTCACAATTTTCTCAAGGAAGCAACAAAATAGGAACCCAAGATTATCGAACCTTGAGAGAGAATTTACATTGCAAATAACCAACACCATTCCTATCGTACTCTGAACTCTGTACTTAATATAAACACTGTTCACAACAAGCTAAAGGGTTACTGATAACATTGGTAAGCTATCCATACAAATACATACATACTAATACATACAAACATACATACAAACTAAACATTTTAAATACCACAGAAGATCGAACTCTCAAAACCTTCCAAATTACATATCTATATCTATATCTATTTGATCTTAGTGATTCCTCAGAATTTTTATTCAAGTCTTTTAACTTCACATTATTTACCAATTAACTGTTAATTATTCTAGAACTGAAAATTTAATCATTCAGTTTAAATTAATTCTGATTCAATTCATTTATCCAGTCCTCACCCAGAACAGGCAGAGACAGATGAGGATTTTAACCTTCACAGAAAACATAGGTCATAGAATGCTTTTTATGAAAAATGATACATAAATGAAGTCACGTGAAAGTCACCAAGTTAACTTTAACTCAGTTCTACCAGCCCTCCACCCCTATTGCTCCTGTCCTTTCACACTTCATTACTCCTTTTTACCTTTTCCTATCCAGTTTTGTTTTCTGTCATAATTAGCTCACTCCCAACCTTTCTTAAGAATACTGATAAGATTTTCACATGTAAGAAGTAAACAGTTTGAGTCCCTTACAGTTAGTCTTTAATGTTCACTTTATATTTCTTCTGGATCATATATGTTGACTATTCCATTGAGTTCTGGACTTTTTGTCATATATACCTGAAAGTTTTTTTAGTTTGTTAAATGTCTTTTTTCTTTTTTTTGTTTAGGATCATCATCTTTGCTTGTTGAATTATGTTTGGTTCTGGCCCCAGCTCTTTTGCATTCTGAAAAATAATGTTGAAGACCAATAGTCTTTTCTTTGTTTTTTTTCTTTCTTTTTTTTTTTTTAAAGCAATTAGGGTTAAGTGACTTGTCCAGGGTCACAGAGCTAGTAAGTGTCAAGTGTTTTGTCTGAGGCTGTACTTGAACTCTGGTCCTCCTGACTTCAAGGCCTGTGCACTGTGCCACCTAGCTGCCCCTGACCAATAGTCCTTTAATGTAGGAGCTGCTAAGTCTTGTGTAATCCTGACTGTATCTCTACAGTATTAAAATAAAATTTTCATGTTGCTTGTAGTATTGTCTCCTCAACCTGGGAGCTTTTAATATTGGCTATGCTATTATGCAAGTTTTCATCTTGAGAACTTTTTCAGGTGGTGATTGGTAGCTTTTTTCTATTTGTAATTTACCTTCTTGTCCCAGAAGCTCGGAGCAATTTTCCTTAATGATTTCTTGTAATATGATATCTAGACTTTTTTAGAAATCGTAACTTTCAGGTAGTCCAACAACTCTATTTGTCTCTCCTCAATTTGTACTCCAGATGGGTAGTTTTCCTAGTAAGATGTTTCACATTCACTTATTTTTTCATTCTTTTGATTTTATTTTATTATTTGTTGTTGCCATATAATTTGCTTCCTCTTGCCCAATTCTAGTTTCCAAGGAGTTATTTTCTTCTTTGAGTTCTTGGATCTATTCTTCCACTTGGATGACTCTGTTTTCATAATTATCTTGTTTTTTTTCCCCTTAATTTTTCCTCAATGTCTCTTATTTGATTTTTGAAGTCCTTTTTAAGTTCTTCCATTCTTAATTTAATTTAATTTAATTTAATTTAATTGGGCAATTGGGGTTAAGTGACTTGCCCAGGGTCACACAGCTAGTAAGTGTGAAGTGTTTGGTCTGAGGCTGGATTTGAACTCGGGTCCTCCTGACTCCAGGGCTGGTGCTCTATCCACTGCCCCACCTAGCTGCCCCAACAAGTTCTTCCATTCTTTTGGGACTTTTGACCAGTTGATGTTTTTGTTGGGGTTTTTTTTCTAAGTAGGACTGGTTTTTTTAGCTTCACTATTTTCCTCAGAATATCGACTCAGATCTTCTTTGTCCCCAGAGCAGTTGACTTTCAGAACCCTTTGCCCACTCATTTTTATTTTTGTTTTTTTAGAATTTAGCTGCTTATTATTGTAATCAGGTTCTAGTCCTTAGGTGTGGGAATGGTGCCCCAGGGCTCAAGTCCTTCTTACTATTATTACGTAAACTTTTTAGGGAGTCCAACAGCAGGGGCTCCTTTCCACCTGCATGCCAGGGCTAGAGACCCCAACCAAACATTCCATCAAATGCTCTTACTCTGTTTGCTGCTCTTCTCTCTGCCCTGGAGCCAACATTTGGGGCTCCACTCTCCTGCCAATTCCCGCAGCCAGCAGGGTCCAACCCCTCTGCTGTTGCACTCACTTGGCTCCTTCTTGGCCACAGCTGCAGCCTGGGATCATGTCTGGTCAGCAGAGGTGGGCTTGGCATGGACAGGAGAGGGTTCTTCAAAGCTTTCCCTACTCCAGTCTGTGAAATGAAAGTTACTTCAGCTACTTCCTACTCAGCTGCCAGGGCTTCTTGTTTCTTGATTTAGTGAAATCTGGCCTGTAGGTTGGGTCTTTCCTGAGGTCCTCTCAAGTTGTGTTAGGAGGACAACTACTTACCTAGATTTTTGTTGTTTTTACCACTCTGTGTTCACTTTTGCTCTCTTTTTTTGTGGAAGAAATTTGGAGAGCCTAGAATTTTCTGGCCTATTCCACCATGTTTCCAGAACTGTATAAGGGTTTTCTAAAAGCATTCATTGAATATCATTCTTTTCTTTTTTAGTTTAAACCCATCATGATGTAAAAATCAATTAATAGAACTTTAGGAAATAATTACATTTTGGATTTTCACACTCAAAACAGAAGAGCATGATAGTTTGTGTGGACTTTGTGTAGATCTTGCTACTGTCTTGAAGTTGTTAGTTGTTTCGATTAATTTTTAGCTGAATCTTTAGTTTTCTACGTAGACCATATCATCTTCAAAAGTGATTGCTTCATTTCCTTTTTGAAAACAGCATATGAATAACTACACATATGAGATACATTCAGAGTGGATGGAGGATAATACCAAAAAGGACATTAGCATTTAGGGGAAGGGAAATGATTTGGAAAAGGCTTTTTGTAGAAAGTAAATTTTGAATTTTGGCTAACGATAACTAAGCAAACTAAGTTGACGGGGCAGAACTTTATATTTTCTTAGCAAAAGATTTGGAGTGCAAGGTTTGGGAAATATTTGTAGGCCCACATACATGAATTGTAGACTATGCTCGGGGACTCAAGTGCAAAAAGTCAGGAAATGTAGTTACTGATCCCTGTAATTAATATTAATAGGAAACAAGATTCACAAAAATATATATATATATATATATATATGTATTATATATATATATATATATATATATATATATATATATATATATATAATATATATATATATACAGTGTAGAGAACTCTGCTCACATTTGGAATATAACCTGGAAGAAGGTCATAAAATACTTTAATTCGATCTTAAAGGGATGTATTCTTTGAAGCAAGGTGGAAAAGTGTATTGCAAAGGGAATGATAAAGTCTATGTAAAATCAGATTGAGTATGATGTTTGAGGAACAGAGAGAAGATCAGTTTGGCTCTATCACAGTATGAAGACTGAATTAATATTTAACAAATTTGGAAAGATAGATTGGGGCAGGATTGAATGAGGCTTTAAAAGTTAGGCATAAAAGTTTATACTTAATTTCAGTCACCAGAATTTACTGAGTAGTGGAGTGATGTTGTCAGACTTGATATGGTCAGATGTCCATCTGCTAAGTAATTATTAAAATTAAGTACACTTTTGTATAATTTTTGCAATAGTATGAAAAATGACAGAGTCAGCTTATTTTTTAAATCTTTTTATTCATTTATCAAGTGAGCATGGATGATTCGGGACTGAAAGTTACTGAAAACATTACTGAACATGAAGATGGTGAACAGTCAAAGACAAGGTATTTTAATAATTTTTGGGTTCCTTTACCCATATTTTTTCAGTTAGGTGTTAAGAAATTATTATAATAATTATTGTAATTTATTATATTCATATGGATTTTTTATTTGGCTTAATTGACGTTTCTGTATAATTGTATACTTAAGAGTTCATGTTTTCTAATTTAGAAATTGCAAATTTAGAGGATAGTCTGATAACATGAAACTCAGTGAGTGTGTCTCTACAAAATTTAGTTCTTATAATAATAAATGTACCAGATTTTTTTCCCTCTAAGTTCTGGTAATTGCTGTATAGTTGTCTTTGTTGGTATAGTTTAAAAAAAGAAAAGAAAAGAAAAGAAACTTAGTGCTTCAGATTATTCAGTATAAGGATTTTTGAACCACTGATTTAATTTGATGTAATCTAATTGTTTAAGAAGATGGTTTTAAAAATAATTTGTATTGACTTTATCACTTTTTAACAATTTTAGGAGACAATTTTTTATTGATTTAAAAAATTTTTGGATATTTTTTTTTGACCAAGAAACATTTATTAAGCACCTATTATTTTGAGGCACTAAGTACTGGGGATACAAAAAAAAGCAAGAAATAATAGTTCCTCTCTCCATGAGCTTATGAGTCAAGAAGCAAACAAATATATATATATATATATATATATATATATATATATATATATATATATATATATATATATATATAATATATATATATATATTATTATATATATATATGAAAAATAGTAGATAATAGAAATGGGAAGGCACTGGAATTAAGAGTTGGGAAGAAAACTTACTGTAAAAGGTGGATTTTCATTGAGTCTTAAAGGAAGTCTGGGAGTTCAGGAGTCATTGACAGTGATAGTGCTCCAGGCATGAAGGACAGCTAGAGAAAATGCCTGGAGCTGAGAGGTGGAATAGCCAGGAGACCAGTGTGGGAATTAAGGCATAAGGAGACTGGAATGATAGAAGGGGGCTAGATTACAAATGTCTTGACTTTGAATGCCAAACAGAGCATTTTGTATTTGATCCTGGGGACAATAAGGCACTGCTGAAGTTTATTGAGTAAGGAGGGTATGAATGACATGATTGGACTTACACTTTACAAAAATCACTTCATAGCTCAATGGAGGATAGGCTGGAGTGAGGAGAGACTTGAGCAGGTGGACTTCTCAGCAGTTATTGAGTGGCAGTGTCAGAAGAGAGAAGTGAGCATTGACAGGCCCTAGGGCTAGATATGGGAGACAGTGAGAAATCTAGGACAGTTTCCAGGTTATAAGCCTGGGAGGTTGATGTTGCTGTCCTCA